TAATTAGATGTAAATATCCAGGGGTCACTAAAAGCGAAGCATGAGCCCAAGTTTACAGTATTGCTTATTCACAATTATTGGGAAACAGTGCAAAATGTACGGGATTCTTCTATATTATCTAGAGATGCTTAATCGCTAACCTGCACTCAGGTGTTATTATCTTGGATGTTACCTCTATATACTTTATATCTTTTTATCTAGATATTTACATCTAATTATTTGTCCAGATGTTTATGCCCCAAACTTCTTTAGTTAAAAGTGAATTACTTATGAATATGTGTAATAATGAATTAATAATGGGGGAATGCACCACCTCTGATTCCAGGACTCCCTTCTCAGGACGACCCCTGGCCCAATCCCCTCCCCCAGGAACTGTGGAACCACCCCTTCTCCTTTTAGTCCCCCCTTTTCTCCCCTTCTTTGATTAAGGAGGGAATCAGCCTCCCCCAGAAAGGAGCTTTCCTCCCCTTTTCACCCCTCCCCCAAGTTACACCCCCGAACTCCCTTCTCCACTCAGTTCCCCAAGAGACTCGTCCAGGCTCCCCTCCAGCCGTGCAGGACTACAAACCCCATCATCCTCTGCCAGCAGGGCTACCTGCCACATGTCTATGCCCTTTGGCCCGGGGGGAGGGAGCTCAAGGATGGGAGCGGCTGGCCCTGAAGCCTCCGGCCTCGGCTTCTCCTTGAGCTGCCATTGTTGCTGCTGCGAGAAGCGGCTCCCTTCATCCCACCGCGGCCAAAGCCGGAGGAATAAACCGGAAGCGGCTCCAGCCAGCACACCATAGAGCAAGCTAGGGAAAGTCGGCACTTCCGCTCAAAAAGAGCTGCGGTTCCTCCATTGGCCCATGCCAAGATTCCATAGAGAACCAGGCAGGTGTAGAACGTATTTCTGGCGAGGCAGGCAGGCGACCTACCCTTGGACCAAATAGCCATAGAGTAAGGCCGCTCTAGACGCTAGCAAACCTCTCTATATAGAACGCACAATGGAGTCAGTAGCGCATTTTTTCACTGTTTTTAAATTAAGTCCCAATTTTATAACCCTTGGAGATGATGAGAGCTCACTCCGTTACGCGGCGCTCGGGATTCGAACTGCCAAACTTTCTGATCGACAAGCTTAGCATCTTAGCCACGGAGCAAGCTTTAAACAGAACAGGATCTGGAAGTTTACACCTTGGAGCTGTGACAACTGCGGATCTCACATCTTAAGGTCCTTTGCCCTTCTGTTTCTACTCAAAATAGGCAAGAATGCTGTAAATTCAAGGCCTGTGGAAGGAGTGCTTCTCCCCAAAGGAAAGGGGAGGGAGTGTGATTTTTGTTGGCAGCTGTCATAACCCGAGGACATTCTCCCCCCCTTCCTATTCCCTTTGGGAAAGGCTGCTTCACTGTGAGGCCGCTGTCCTTAGACAGAATGGGCAAAAATCTTGTTCAACATCGCTCTGTCAAATTTGAGAAGATGCATGAAATGACTCATTCATTTTTTTTATTTCCTTGCTGGTGGAGACAGCCATGCTCGATGGGAATTGCAGAGGAGAGTCTTATTTTATTTATTTATTTATTTATTGCCTACCTTTGTTATTTTTACAAATAACTCAACAGCGGAAACCTCACAATTTCCCCACAACAACCCGTGAGGCAGGCAGGGCTGAAAAAGGAGGATTGGCCGAGTCACTCAGCCAGCTTCCGTGCCTAAGGCAGGGCTAGAACTCACTGACTCCTGGTAACTGGCCCAAAATCACCCAGCCGGCTTTCATGCCTAAAGTGGGACTAGCTTTGTAGCCTGGTGCCTTAACCGCTAGGCCACAAGTTGAAGGAAGCACACTAGTTTACCATAATCCATAAATCATTAAATTAAAAAGATTGAACATCGTTCTCAACCTGTGGGTGACAGAGAATAAGCTGTCGGATCCATAAATGCTCCTTTGCCAAGCCTTTTCAGCAGTGATACCCTGGCTGTGTTCAGAGTGTGTGTGTGTGTGTGTGTGTGTGTGTGTGAGAGAGAGAGAGAGAGAGAGAGTGTGAGAGAGAGAGAGAGAATCTTTGAATGAAAGCCTCAGCAGAACACACTCATATATAACCAGATAAGAACCGACATTTATATCTGCAACTGATCCTTATCTTGGGCTTTTATTGCTTATATCCATTTACAAGCATTATCTTTATGAAGGCTGTTCACTCCGTTTGGATGAGACAAGGTAATTAATCAAAGTTCTCAGGGACTGTGGAAAGAAAGAAAGAAAGAAAAAGAAAGAAAGAAAGAAAGAAAGAAAGATTGTTTTCGACAGCCAGGCAGGGAATAAGACAGTAAAATATTTAAGTCCCGTTCTTGGCAGGGAGCAAGACTGCCCAAGCCTTCCAGGTGCTAAGAACCTAGTTTTTTTCCTTTTTGTCAGCTAAGGAGCATGGCAGATATATTTTAACTTCCAGACAAAGGAAGCTGCAAGGGCAGAAGATAAGGCCGCAGCTGTGTTTGCATGATACATCTGCCCCTGGTGAAACTAACCATTGTTTACGCAATTAGCCCAATTTTCTGGGCTCCTAACCACACGGTGAGTCATTGCGTAATCATCGGTCTTGCTTAGCCAATCGCCAGGCAAAAATAGTTGTCTTGGCTACTTGTCAACCTCTGTGTAGCTTAAGGTTTCTA